AAATCCATGCTAATGGTAAAACTGTCCAGTTTTAAGACATGAATTTTATTCTTTCCCGTTTAAAGTAATACTTTGATGCTAAAGTAATACTTTTTTAGGCTTTATATGAATAACTGTGTTAAACTGTGATCATGGACTTTCCATCTTGGTGAAGGTAGTTTATTTGGAAAAGCCACAGTGTCCTCCAGTGGTTTTTGAGTGAGATACAGGTGGGCATGCCCAAAAGGTTATGTAAGCACCCATCCGAACCTCGTGGCAACAGTTTTAAGAACCAAAGACGTCTTAAGCAAATCTCTGCTTGGCTTTTCCATCTTGGCCTAGCAAAGCGATGCGCTCAAAAGTTACAGTAAAAACTTAGATGCAACTCCGTTTGTTTTGTTTTGACTTCCTACGTGAAACGGGAAGTCTGCGTGTTCATCGAAACATTAAGAGTAAAAGCAGTTTGGAACACAGTTTGATGATTCGGCTCCGGTTTGGAATAATTTGGGCCTGCGATCTGAATTCCACGTTTTGAGGCCGCAGAGGTGAAGGAACCGAAAAGTCAAGCCACGATCGAGGATTACCACATCCTCTCCTTTCAAGACTAGGGTTGTCACGGTAACCGGTATAGCGGTAAACCCCGGTAAAAAAGTTGACAATAAAAATAACCGTCCAGTTTTTAAAAAACTATATTATCTCGGTGGGTTTACCGTGGCCGCGGTTTCGGCGCGATGACCCTTACCAGCCACCGTCGCTTCAGCTGAAGTTCCCGCTGCGCGCACACGCACTTTTTAATTTGCAACGGCACCAAAACTTTGAAGCTGAAATAATGGCCGAAGGAGGAGACGGCAGCGCCCAGGACATCCATCAGTCCTCAAAGAAGACTAAATCGGAAGTATGGGCATATTTGGGATTTCTGAAAAATGCTGAGGGACAGTTAATAGAAGACGGCTATCCCGTTTGCAGAACGTGCAGGAAACAAGTGTCTGCAGAAGGCAGCAACACTTCAAATCTCATGGCACATCTGCGTGACGATCACCCACGTCTCCACAGCCAGTGCAAGGTAAGATAACATTAGCATTTTAGCTGAAATGCATGACGCGAGGACTTTTGGTTGAGGGAGAATGCAACGAGTCACTATATACTGCAGCCGCAGCGTCCTCTGCCAGCATTTAAACCGTGTCACGGACACCCTGTTGCTGGATGAAGCATCTTATTTGTTGATGATGAAGAGAAATATACAATTAGTTCCTTGTCATGGATTTGTTTACTTATTCAATGCCATTTATACTTGAACATTTGGATTTGATTACATAGTGTAGTAGTTATTTTAGTAATTTGTTTAAAGTGGATATTTATTTTAAATACATATTTTTTAAGGTTGACTTGTACAGTGCTCAAGTCAAGTGTGGACTGGAGTTTTAGATTTTCATTTTGATAATGAAGAAAACAAGTATATGAGAAAACAAGTGGTGTTTCTTTGATTTGTTTACATATTGTTTATGTTTTGAATGTTTGGATTTGTATAATTTAAACCTGCACTGACTACTGTAACAAGTTCCAGAAAAATAAGCTATTTGTTCCTTTACTTGTGAAAAGTTGCACTTTTGCTAAGGCTTTGTGTTATTTTAGGTTTAATAAACACTGTTAAACATTTTCAGAACTATTTCAGTTTGTGTAGAACAGGACTATCAATGCTTTCTGAACATATGCAACACCGTTTAAAAAATACCGCGATAATACCGAAAACCGTGATAATTTTGGTCACAATAACCGTGAGGTTAAATTTTCATACCGTGACAACCCTATTCAAGACCAACGTTGACCGAACAGAGAGCCAGTAACATTTAATCCAAAAGGGCCACGAGCCAGGAACCCAAGGCTGTTGGAGCTGCTGGCCACCCTCCCGGCGACGGAAAGCAGGTCTGTGAATCATTTTCATCTGGCTGACTTTTCCTGCTAAGCCCGATTAGTGAACTCAGACTTAAACTTTTATGGCTTGTTATTTTCTATCCAAATTTCCGTTTATCTCTCAAGATTTATCTTCTTTCTCTGCTGCACACGAATGCTTATTCACACACACACACACACACACACACACACACACACACACACACACACACACACACACACACACACACACACACACACACACACACACACACACACACACACACACACACACACACACACACACTCCTGTATTCCTATACCCACAGGAACGCACACCCACATACATGCTCACTTGTTCTCCCAACAGAAGTTATTCCTAGTATTTACTATAATCTTATATGTCACCAAATTTCCACTTTTATTACAGACTAGTTATGTCATAGCACTGCCATAAAGCCTTGTGTTTATCCACTTACGTATTCTCAAGCATGAAACAATAAGCTGTGTTTGGTTCTCTTTGTCAGGTGTCACAACTGATGTTTGTAATAAATTCACAAAACTTAAATCATGCCTGATCATTGCCTAGCGATCTCGAGAATAGCTGGTGCATTCTGACAAGAATTCAGCTTTCAGATTAAAATGTGGTGTTAACTTTAAGACTGATTACATTGAGAATATATAAATATTAAATCCAGTGTCCCAGTTCACACAGACAAAACTGGGTGGTGCCCCGAGTTATTGAATATAAAATTATAAACGACAAAGACAAACTAAATCTACACCACATTTGAAATATAGCTATAAATCTATATATATTGCTACACTTCTTTATTGTGCTTTCTGCTTCTTGTTTTGCTGCTCTTGTGTGTCTTTGACTTGTTTCTCTCTCGCACTCCTTTCTATGTTCTATTGTTCGTATGTTAAGTAGTTGGCGTCGGGTTTCTCCTATGTATGTTTTACTGCAGTTTGCATGGGATTTCGTAAACGACTCCACATTTAAGTCCAGCTGGTATCTTGTCTTTTGGGTGTGCTAGTCTGTTTCTAACTGTTGTGTATGGTTTTGTTGGTGTGTTTATGTTGTGTTTTTTCATTGTTGCTCTTATTTTTCTGTTATGCCTCTGATGTATGGTAGGATTAGCACTGGTTTTGGTTCTTGTCTTTCTGGGTTTCTGGTTCTTTGCTTTGGTTGTTCTTTTCTTTCTGTTGTTGTTTGTTGTTTTCCTTTGTTTATTGCCCATGTCGGGTATCTGCAGGTCTTTAAAGCATGTTGTATGTGTTTGTCCTCTTGTTTACGGTCTCTCTCTTCTGCTATCATGTTTGCTCTGTGATGTAATGTTCTGATTACTGACATTTTGTGTATGGTGGGGTGTTCTGATGTCCATAATAGATACTGGTCTGTGTGTGTTGGTTTTCTATGTGTGTTTATGTTTAGGGTCCCAGTAGGGCTGCTCAATTAATCGAATTTTAATCACGATTACGATCTGAGTTTTGAACGATTATAAAAAACAAAACAAGCCGATTATTTGCTCCTCCCGCCTGCGCTGCCCCGAGTTGCAAATGAAGCGCTCCTCCCAGTGTTGCCAATTTAGCGACTTTGACGCTATTTCTAGCAGCTTTTCAGACCCCCTTCTTGACTTTTTAACTTAAAAGTATCTAGTGAACATCTCAGAAACATCTCTGGTAACCCTTAGCTACTTTCTGGATAACTATCGTCGACGTTTCCTGCAGGTTAGCTAAACACCGCCTGCTCTCCGGACCGTTCTTCAGGACATTAGGAAAGGGAATGATGTAGCGATGTCGGTCGCTAAAAAAACAGCTCTCGGAGCCGGCTCCTTGTTGGAGTAACCAGAGTGAGTGACACACACACCGCACCTGCGGACTCCTGAGCCACTAAAAACGGCTAAATGTGCGCGTGCGGCGCGCTAAACACACGTGCAGCTTGCCCTGATTGCTGTGAGACCGGGTTGGGGGTGGGGGGTGCAGCTGTGGTTGGGACAATTATTACATTAACTGATGGACCTGTAAATAAATAGTTTATAAATAAGGTAGAAATAAGTTCCTCACGCTGATAAATAATAACTAATCTCTCTGAGGATACGGTGCTAGTGCACTCTCCTACAGCACCTTGACACGACTAAATACGTATTATGCAATTTTTTGTGAACATCAATTTATTTGCATGTATTTGTTATGAATGCCACAGTATAATTCTTGCTGTCAGTATTTGCAAGATATTGGTATTTGGGTCTGTACTGGTTAGACTTAAATGAGTTAAACCAAGGTCTATAGCCCTTGGGTCATAAACTAGGAGCTATAAGTATATTGGTCTTTTTATACTGGGAATCAGGAGTTATTTTAGTGATCATCTTGTTTCTTATTTTCGTCCTGATTGTGCCCTGAGCAGTTTTATGACTGAATAAAAACAAATAAAATCAACATAAATTGAAAAATCGTCCTAAATAATCGTGATCTCAATTTCAGTCACCATAATCGTGATTATTATTTTTGCCATAATCGAGCAGCCCTAGGTCCCAGTGGTCTGCCTGGTTATTTTCATATCCATAAATGCTACTGCCTTCTGTTTCTGACTCATAAGTGAACTTTATGTTGCCTGTGTCGTCAATGTTATTCAAGTGTTGTGTTAGTGTTTCTGTTTGTCATTTTGGTATGATTTCCAGTATGTCATCAGCGTAGCGTTTCCATCATTTTCTTTTGCAGTTGGGGGGGGGGGGGGGGGGGGGCAGTGGCTATGGCTTTTTGTTCTAGGTCTTCCATGAAAAACTCAAACAAGGCGGCTGATAACGGGTTACCCATGGCGAAGCCTTCCAGTTGTTTGTATATTGTGTTGTTGTATGTGAAGTAAGTGGAGTTAGCTACTAGTCCTATCAGTTGTGCTATGTCATCTGCTGTGAGGTTTGTCCTTTTGTGTAAAGTCTTGTCCTGTCTGATTCTGTTAACTACTATGTCTATGGTTTTTTGGGTCGGAGTTTTTGTGAACAGGGATGTGACGTCACGTGAGATGAGTATGTCGTTAGAGCTGAAACAACTAATCGATTTAATCGATTATTAAAATAGTTAACAACTTTTTTAGTCATCGATTAGTTGTTTAATAATCATATTTTACCGCATAAAGTCTATTTTTTACCACAATCTGACATCGGTTACAATCTGTTAAATTTGCCGCCAGTGTGTGGCAGTAATGAGCCACTGATCTACCAGTGGGGCCGTAGAAGAAGAAATTAGCCAATAAGTGCCCTCGGTTTTCATGACGTATCACGTTACTGACGCGCATCTTGCTGTGAGAGATGGCGGATCAACAACAAATACGGAAGAAAAATAGAAGCGACAAAACAAGAGAAACCCCGGACAAAAACCTCACGAGTATGGGAGCACTTCACTAGATGCCTTGAAAAGACCGGTGACCTACAAAATATGCAAAAACCATGGCACGACGGAAGCACGACGTCCCTAAGTGAACATTTGAGACGAAAACGTGGGGGCTGATGCAGCAGAGGAATGTCCGGTAAGTAACAGAAAATAAACAAGCTAACGCAGATCACATTTGGGACTTAGTGTTAGCTGAGTTCGTTATAGTGGATGTTAAAACATGTTTTTTTTTTTTGCCGCGTCAGTTTACGGTGTTCTACTTCTGATTGACTAGATGCAATCGTGAATCTCCTCCGTGTTGTGAATCATGCGCTTGCCAAATTTAGCACGTCTGTTTATAAGAATGTTCTCGTTAAGAGAAAAACGGCACAAACCCATAACTATGTTCCTCATTCAAAAAAGGACAACTCCGCGGAGAAAAATATACAGACGAGCTGTGTCCAGGTGAATATAATGCGGCATAGTTGTACACTTTCAATTTTTAAATACAGGAGAAATTCAGAAAGTCCTTTTTTTAACTATTAAAAGGCTGTTTTACTATCTAACGCTGTAAAACGCCTCACAACACATTTTTGTCAAAATAAATGATCACTGTATATTGTTAATTAATTCAAATAATGTAATATTGATTTAGTGTTGTAGTGTGTGTGCTGCTTTATTTTATATGTGTACTTAATTCAGGTTATTTGTGTTTCTTATGCAGAAAAAAACAAGCAACGATGGACAACTACATGGGGAACAAGACACTCACCCCCAGCAATGCATACCACTTACAAACTCTATTCCAGATTCTACATTATTTTTTATGGAATTTACCTCTTATATTTTGATGCCAAAAAATTATTCTGGACTGATATTTTGCACTGTTTAGCTCATTTTACACTGCTGACTGTGGTCATGTGCAATAAAATAGATTGCAGTCAACTGCACAATTCTCTTATGTTTTTCTTTTTCTTAACTGAAATGTATTCATCTCTTGTATAGGTTAAATAGCTAAACAATAACAAACCGATTAATCGATTAATCGAAAAAATAATCGACAGATTAATCGATTATGAAAATAATCGTTAGTTGCAGCCCTATATGTCGTTGTCTTCTATTGTAATCTTTTTTAGTTCTTTTGCCAGTTCTGTGCTATTTTTGCAGTGTTGATCTGTGTTACCTAATAACGGGCTGATGATTTTGCTGATTTGTTTTTGTCATGTTGTATGTTGGTGTACCAATGCTATCTACTATTGGTCTAAGTGGGGTGTTTTGTTTGTGTATTTTTGGAGTTCTGTTCTGCTTTCTTTCCCTCTGTGATCTGTTGACATGCTATTTCTGTTGCTACAATAAATTCTTCACATGGTATTTTCTTTGGTGTTACTGCAACGTTTAAACCTTTTTTTAATATGCTTTCTTCTGCTTCTGTTAGTTCATATTGAGACAGGTTACATACCCATGTACTTTGTGTGGTGTTATCTTGTATTTATTTTCTCTTTTTCTTGTTGATGAGTTTGTTTAACTTCTTTGTGTGTCTTTCTTTAACTTTTATGAACTCTTTTTCCTGTTGTTCCATCGTGTGTCCTTTAATTTGTTCCTCCGTTTTTCATCTAGTTTGTAATTCCTTTTTAAGTCCAGGTGTCTTCTTTCCAGTTTGTTTTCCACTTGCATCTGTTTGGTTGCGACATTTCTTATCCTTTCTTTGAGTAGTGCTTTCTGTGTTCTTTCCATTATGTTCTGTGTCGTCTTTGTCCGGATCGGTGTTTTCAGCTGTAGGCTTGTTGGCGTGATGTTTTCGTCCCGGCATCTTAACTTTAAGCGAAGGTGGTTCCTTAGACGTGTGCGTTTTTGATGTAAACGTTCCAAACGGCGGAAGTCCTTTGTTCCTTGTCCGTATTTTTCTTTAAACGTCTTTGGTATGTTCTTTCTGTGTTTGGCTTCTAATTCCATTTTCGGTTATTTTTTAAAACACCGGAAAGGAAAAAAAAATTGTTTCTATGTGACGGTGGAGGACGTTCTGCAGATGTAAACATTACCATACATGCAATGTGCAAGATATGTAAACATAAAATACATAGTTGGTGCAATCATAAACAGTGTGTCCACGCTGGGGCTCTTTTTTGCGGGGGTGGGGTGGGGGTTTACAAGGTTCATTTTGACTGAGGGGCCCCCTCCCGTCCTCCAAATGCCCTGGAACGGCCCGTTTAAAGAGGGCTATGGCAGTATCCCTAATCATTAGTGCTGCTGGTTTGAGGCTGATGTACTTTAAATGTTTATTTCATCATAGATTCTACAAGCATCGTTTGTAACGGGCTTCCGGACTCCTGTCCCTCATCACACCGTATAAATTCAACAGGAGAGTGACTAGAGGCAGCAACAAGAACAACCTGTTACTATTTTGACTACAGCGTCATGACTGAACTACTTTCTGTTTCCTTATTGTAGCACACGACTCAGACGGCAAAAACATGTTCAACACACTGGCTTTAGGATGTTACACGGTCAAATATACAGTGGTGGACAGTGTTAGCGTCAGAGCACATCTAATAACCATAATAATGCTGGTACTGGTTGTGCCAAAGTAGTTACCCCCGTCAAAAATTGTTTCTCCATTCACGGGAGCGATACTATAATACTGTAAAACCAGACGTGATCATGGAAACACGTCGAATTTACACTCGGTTTACACTTTGTTTTTGTAGCGTTGCTGTCATGAAATAGTTTATTTGCAAAATCAATCACAGTATAACCAATAACTACAGTAACGTTGCAGTGTGTTTCTTCACAGCAAAAGTTATGGAGGGATACAGATTTTATCAGGCTGTGTGGCCTCGGCTGCCAAAATGTGTGCCCAAAATGTTCTCCAAAGTTTCCGTAGTTATTATACTGTGACTTATTTTGCAAATAAACTATTTCGTGATAGCAACGCCAACTAAAATAAATTGTAAACCGAGGGGAAACAATTTTTGACGGGGGTAACTACTTTGGCACAACACCGGAAAGTGTTAGCATGCTAAATTTAGCATATGTAGAGCCACTTACCGCTGCTGCTGCTGCTGCAGCACAGAACCAGGAGGGAGAGGTGAAACACAGCGAACATGGCTGATGTTTTATTCATCAACCCATTCATCAACTGTTCATTGTTCTGGTTCGGCTCGGATAGAAGATTTGGAACTCAGAACTCCAGTCGTATACTAGCTCCTTAGGAGAGCAGCAGACGGTTTCCTGTGTCTTTACAACCAACTTCCGGTCTGACGTTGTGATGTAAATCTATAGAATCGACTCTCATTAAAAATAGAGCTGCAGATAAATAATAAACATATTTAAAAGTTTATTAGACATTTTTACTTTTTTAGCGGTCTAAAAAAAGCTCTGCTGCGTTGAACGCTGCGTTTTGTCCTCTGGTGGCGAAGCTAGGTACTGGAGGTAGAAAATCATTTACATCTATTATGATTTTAAGATTGTTTGTATGTTATTGATTGTTTGATCAATATTAGAAAATGTGTCGTTTTTCTGACCGTTACTTCACGTCAGATTAAAGCATCAGAAATCAGATTAAAGGCTCCAGACAATAAAAACATGAGTGAAACAAAGGAAATAAAAACATCTGTTGTGTTGTACTGATGATAAATAAAATATAGGAAAAAAGTAAACACATCCTAGAAGATTCCAATAAAAAATGTTTAATTTCTTAAAATGTAAAAATTTCAGACATTATGGTGAAAATATGTACATTTTTACAGTATCTGTTTAAAGGGAGGGTTGGTGTGGAGATCAATGAGCGTACATGTTGTGTCCAGCGTGAAAAACATTTTCTTCATGTCAGACTTTAAATAGCTTCAAATTCCAGCCCGGACGTCTCTTTGTTTTATGCAAACATGTCGAACCGCCGCCTGACATGTTTCACATCCCGATACAACAGCTTCATGCCGAGTCTGGATCATTTACAGAAAGCAGGCTTCCCGGGAGCGAGGTCCAGTTGGGGTGTGAAGTGCACACAATTACCAGTACCACCAGCCAACGCCCGTCTGTCCACATCACTCTGGAATAACGCAGCATCATCGGGTTTGTACCGACACAACCTCTGAGCTGTTCATCCATCCATCCAGTGTGTGTGTGTGTGTGTGTGTGTGTGAAGCAGCATGAAGGTGGCAGAGGTTGCAGGTTCAAGTCCCATCTGTTGCACTTGTGTCTTTGGAGGTGGTGGTGCCTGTGAACAGCAGACTCACTGCTTTCAGTGCACCAAGGGGCGGCTGTGACTCACCACCACCAGGGTGTGAATGGATGAAAGGCTGGTTGTGATGTAAAGTGCCTTGGGGGGTCGTGGAACCCTACAAGATGCTATCTCAAATACAGCCATTTAAAATGTACCATCTACCCATCATCCATCTGGCTGTCTGCTGCACACTCTCCTGCCTCTAGAGGACCTCCTTCTCCACAGTCCTGACTGCTGCAACCACACTCACTTGATGGTTGATCTCCTCAATGGGCTCAGAGTTCTTCATCGCCAAAAACATGGAGGACTCAGGTGGTGCCAGGAGAGTCTGAGGAGGCAGGATGGAGACAAGGAGGAGGAGTGAGGAGGACTTCAGAGTTAAGCACCTGTTATAATACTGGATTCACTCTGTCATGGAGACACACACACTCACCTGTGTGACGTTATCTGGAACAACGTCCTTCAAACAGAGGAACTGGGAAATGTGTCTCCAGCGAAGGACAACTAGCACCACCAGAATCACCAGAATCACCATGACAACCAACACGATGACAGCTGGGACCCACGGCGAGTCCTCTGGAACAAACCGGTCCTCCAATCAGATTACATGAGTAGGACCTGACTGTTTAACTGGACAGGTGTGTGTGTACGTGTCCCCACCACTGTCAGTCTTCTCACACACCTCCCTGCTGGGCTCACTGGGATGCGGGGTCCTGCCAGTGGTGATGAAGACCTGGACACAGTACTCGGTCCAGGGATCCAGATTATCCAGGACCATCCGGTTCTGACTGGTTCTGTCTCTGCGTCTGAGCTGCAGGAGGGCAGGGTGTGGGGTTCAAACATCAGAGAGGGAACCATGTGGACATGTCCTGGAATGATAACGTCTCACCTCTCTGTCCTGTCCCATCTTCCAGTAGGAGATGTTGTAGAAAACAGAGTGGAAGACGTTTCTCAGAGATGACAGAATGAACTTTGGATCCTCGATGCTGACCACCAGAGTTTGGTGGTGGGACATCAGCAACACGCTGGGAGAACCGATGATGGCTACGGAAGGAAAAACAGGAATGAGATCGGAAAGCTCAGGGAGAGGATGCTCTTCTTGGACATGAAGCTGCGGACGGTCTCGGTCTTCCTGGACTGGATGCTTTTTTGACTCACTGTCTTTGTCTGGCACAATGTGGTTGCTTGCTGTCCACGGGGACCTGTGTGCTCCCAGGAGCGCCCGGACTCTTCCAGTGTAATTCCCATAGATGCTGATGTTGAATAGGCTGAGGTCACATCTCAGCTCCGTGATGTTCCGGCATGCTGGTTGGAACGCTGTGATCGCGCTCCTGAGACACAGAGGAGACATGGGAGATCTTCCGGTTTATCCTAACACCGCTCCAGGTGAACTCCCCGTTCTGGACCCACCTCCACTGAGCTTCCCAGGACCAAATTAAATCTCGGAGGCGGATGGGCCTCAGAGACCCAGCTGGACCGACAGGTGACTTACCTGAACTCTGTGGAGTAGCTCAACCCATGCGGGGACCCCTCTGGTAGATCCCAGCTCAGGACCAAGTCCAGGTTCCGAGACTTCAGGGTGACATTTGTGGGAGGACCCAGGGCTCCTGAAACCACTAAAGTCCAGATCCAGTTAGTTCTGATCATGAGGCCACAGGGAACTCTGTTAGGTCAAAGTTCACATCTCGGGTCCAATCAGAACCAGAACCCCCTACAGCCTGGTCCAGGTCAGTCCGACAGCAAACATGAACTGATCAGGACCCACTAGATAACTTCCGGTGTCCCACTCTGGCTCCAACCGGATTTCGGAGGCCCCCGAACCCGGTTCGGTAGTGTCCCGGTAGCGGGCTTGAGACTGAACCAGGTAAACTTACCTGCGAGGAGCGAGCTCGTCAGGATGAACGCGCACACGCACGCTGACATGTTGGTCGGTCCGTTTAAACAGAACAGGAAGGGCTCCGGCTAGTTCCTGGTCGCTTCATTAACAATAGGCGGGGAAACCCGCGAAGGCGAAACTTCTCAGCACAGATCACAGGAGCGCGCCTTAACCCGGTATTACGGTAACGTTTCCTTTCACAATAAAAGCCTCTATAAGAGTAACGATCAGCAAAATTCTGGGATTAACGGTAAACATTTAAGGTCTTTATTAAAGATGAACCCATTTGTTTTTACATTTCAATAAACAACCCTTTGGTTTTAGGATTTACACATCCTTGCCCACATTGGGACCTCAGAATTAGGGATTTTTTATAGTTTGTCATGATAGCTACTTCTAAAAGGTATTATTGAATGCACTTAAAGAGCATTTCCCAGTCTAAAGGTATTTAAAACAGTACAAAACCTTCCAAGTAATTTCTAAGTTGTGTTGTGATTATTTTTCCAAACAATCCAACAAACTGTTTCTTATAGGATAATTAAAGTTTAAATAATATTCAAGTTAAATGTGATGAAAAACATGAGTTTTGCTTTGGCCCCCTAAAACGCATTGATACGGCCCTGGGCGAGCCATAGATATTACATACTTATATATTATTGCTTTATAAAGTTAAAACGCGCAGAGGGATGAATCTACCAACATTTTCCTTGTCAAGCACTTTTGTTTTCTTGAGTTTAGTTTCCCATTTTCCTGTCCTGCCCGTCTCTGATCGTCCTGCATCTCCTCAATTCTCCAGAGAAACTGCTGCCTGGCTTCTACTTCTCCACCTCATGAGTTACTTTGAACTAAGCAGATCAAAGGAGGGATCCACCAACCACAGCGTTAGTGGAGTGTGTGCTGCCGACACCAGACCACCGGTTCTGACAGAACGGACCCATGATCGTGGGTTAATTCTACTCTTTGATGGCCCATCAGCACCTTCTCCTCATCCACCTGGATCCATCTTACCTTCTCATTCATTTTCTCTTTCTTCACATTTTACTTTTCCCGTTTTTATACTTTTAGTTGTTTTTAACATTTCTTTGTTGTAATTTTTGTTCTTGTGAAGCTCCCCTGGATTTTTATCTTGAGAGGCGCTAACAGCTTGTTTCTTCCTCGTGAAAACTATTTACATTCAGGTTTCTCGTTTTCACTCTCAAACTGGGCGGAAATATTAAATGTGATGCTGCCTGGGACACCTGTTGTTATTGTTGTAAAGGAAACGTTTATTTTAGAGAAAATATCAGACAATGTTTGTCACAGAGGAAAGCAGCTAGTGGTGAACCTGAGACACATGGACGTAATTTTTTGGGGGGGACATGTCCCCCCCACTTTTTCCAAAGTCAAGTTTTGACCCCTGCACTTTTTACCATCTAAAAACAATATTACGCTATATTAAATTGACACTGGTTGAGCTCTAGGACCAAGCGGAAAACAACTGTTTGTGTTGAAGCCTGTTTCCCATTAGAGCATACTGTAAAGATTCACACACACACACCCCACCCCCGACCCCACCCCACTCCGTGTCTCCCCCACTTCTAAAGTGAAAATTACGTCCATGCTGAGACAACATCAGAGCAAATAAACCCAGAGATTAATGAAATAAAACATCATTCATCCCCAACTTCTTCCTGGTCTTCCAGCCAGCCAGTGATCACGGTTTCCAGCAGAACCAGTTCAGGTGCTGTCAAGGATCTCTAGTCAGAGGAGTCTTCATCACACAGCTGTAGGTATGAGACCTGATGTTCAGGCAGTGCAGGTTGCTGGTTTGAACCTGAGGACCACATGGAGACAAACGGTGGTTTCATTTACTGTTAAGAGTTCCTCTTGAAGCTCAGAAAGGTTCACACACACACACACACACACACACACACACACACACACACACACACACACACACACACACACACACACACACACACACACACACACACACACACACACAAGCAAAGATTTATGTTAAAATAAAGGTTTGGGTGTAAACAGGAAGTCTGACCAGCAGGTGAGGGGGTTAAGTGTCTTGCCCAAGGGCAAGAAAAGAACCAGCGTTCAAAAGAAGGTTTTTTAACCAGAACCAGGTTCTACCTCAACTATTCTATCCCCCCCCCCCCCCCCCCCCCACATACACACACACACACACACACACTTTATTTTGAAATTGTTTCAGAATAAAGTTCATCTCTTGATTAATGATGAAGAAAGCACCAGATGAACAAATGAATCAGGTGTTTGTGGGAGGAACCGGACCTGTTCAGGTACCTTCTTACATGAATTCTGATGAGCCGACCCAACAGGAGGAACACCACCAGGCCGAACACCCCACACAAACCCAGCAGCAGGAACTCTGGGAGGAAACAGGTCGATCATAAAAATGTTCAATTCAAATCCACTTCCTGTTTTCATCAACACACAAAGTTGCTGAAACAGGAAATGAATCTTCTGCAGAAGGTCTGAAAAAAGCAGGAAGTTTCCAGAGCAGAGCTACAGGTAACCACCACCTGAACACTGCCTAGCAGTAATCCCACTACTGTTATAGAATGACATCATCAAACCCAGCTGCACCACATCTGTTATCATTACTTTATGTTGGGGTTGGAGTTCATCTCAGGGACATACGTGAGATTTCAGATGGAGGAGGACTGGTGAAGGAGCAGCGACGCTCACTGAAGATGCTGGTGGGGTTAAAGGTCGTCGTGATGGAGACAGACACACAGTACTCCACACCTGGCTCCAGGTACGGGATGACGCTCTCCTGTTTGTAGGGCAGCTTCAGCTTGAGCTGAAACCGGAAACAGAACATTACAGGATAGGTTCAGAAGTGGACCAGAGGCAGCCAGGAACCTTCTGGAATCCCAGCTGATCTTCAGGGAATGTTTCTGGGTTTTGTGTTTTCTGTCCAGACCCGTTCATTATGGAAACAACAGGAAGCACGTCTTTGTTGGAATGAACTTCTGTTATGGAAATGTTATGTTTATTAATTCTTGATCATTGACCCAATCAACTGAATGTAATATGTATTGCTCTATGCCTCTTGACATGCCCACTTATTCAGACACACACACACACACACACACACACACACACACACACACACACACACACACACACACACACACACACACACACATTCTTGACTTCCCACACACACTCACTCACTCACTCACTCACTCACTCACTCACTCACTCACTCACTCACTCACTCACTCACTCACATTCCTTTCTTGTCTCTTGGTATAAATAAACTCTGTGACCAGATGTTCGGGGCATTTTGCCTCGTGCATTATGACACAGTTATAACTGTTTGACTTGTCTGATCATTGCCTCCTTCCCTCTCCGACTACAGGAAATGGGTTATTGATAAACATATTGATAAAATCCATGACAACTTCCTTTATTCTTACATAGTTTAGACACCTTTATAAAGCAGCTCAAGACCCTTTTATTTAAAGGTGCATGATGTAAGAATGACATCTTGTGGTCACATTTCAGTCCTGCAATCCATTTTCAAAACAACTGAGTCAAGACGTGGACTCTTCTTAGTACATTTGGTCAGGTCTCAGGTCACAAGGTTAACAGGTCCAGCTGACCCAGAACCTGGATGAAGATGCCTGCATCTCTTTTGGGGGCGCAGCTCACTGGCACAATTCCATTAAAAATAATTAAATATTTATATATTATTATTTGGATTACACGTAAATTTAAAGACCTTTTCAGGACCGACTTAACCCTTCGTTGGCTACTCTTAAACAAGATATTTCCCGATGGGAAGCCTCTTCCATCCTTAGGAGGGAGAATAAACACTTAAAATGACTACTGCCCGAGTTCCTTTATTTGTTTCTAAATCTTTTTTAACTAGGACAAACTTTCAGGCTTTATACGGCACAACAGACGCCTGAGAACCAGTAAAAAGGTGTTGCGATTACATGGGGTGGGGGTCACTTCCTAATTTTACGTGTTTTACTACATGAATGCAGAGTTGTTTTGTCAGAAGGAGGCTGTGGAGAAAGCCCCATTTGCTGCTCGTTCTCCTACACCTATACTCTGCTCTCGGCTGCCCCGTTCATGCTCGTTGTCTCCATACATGGACGATCTCGTTAGTTTAATATCTGGAGTTAGTGTAGACGCTCTTTTCGTTTCACTGAAATGTGGGTTGTTGCCAGAACTGGATTCATCAGGCTTCGTGGATAAACAACACTGAGGAACAATGGAAAATTGATCCTGTGGTCCTAATAAATGGACCCAATGGAAGCAATAATAAAGCAAACAGTGGACCAAGATCTGAACCCTGAGGAACTCCATGACTAACTCTGACTAACGTGGACTAACTGGGATCTACTAAGCAAATAAAAGTAAACCAGTTTAGGGCAGCTCCCTTAATCCCCGTATCATGTTCAAGCCTCTGGAACAGAATATCATGGTCAACTGGATGAAAGGCTGCCCTGAGACCTACCTCAGCACCATCTCTGGTTCTGTGCACATGGATGAGGACTTCCCAGTACATGCTGGTCACCTGGGTATTGTGCCAGAGCAGCTTATCAGTAGGAAGTCTGACCCGGAGGACCAGACAGCTTCCACATCCAGACAGGGACAGATCAGGAGGTCCAAGGACAGCTGCAGACACAAATCAATCAGTTTGCTTCATGCAGGTTCTACACCATACATCTGGCGTCTGTTGGTCCTCTGGAGGAGTTGGCCGAGTCTCACTGTCTGACAGGGGCTGGAACTGTCTCGATACGGTCCATTTGGACGTCTGGTTGGTGCTGATGGCTCGGACCCGGGCTCTGTAGTGGTCCAAAGGATCCATGAAGTCGCTGGTAAGATTGCAGGTCTGTCCAGGTTTCAGGTCAACACAGTCAGAGACAGAAGTCCACCTGGTCCTCCTGCAGGAGACAAACCCATCCAGCACTGAGTCACATAAAACCCAGTTTAAGCTGAGTTTTGGCCACACCTCCAGCTGCTCAGCCACTCACGAGCCAATATGGCCCAGAGCTGCTCACCTCCTTAGAAAAGCTGCCTCTCTGTCCTCTGGTGGCTTCTGGTTTCATGTTTTCCTGTGTTAGCTTCATTGTTTAATAATCTTTAGTTTTATTTGAGTTCTGTGGTTTGTCTCCTGGTCCAGGATCATACTGTACCACGTCATGGAAACAGGCTTCCTCCACCACTTTAACACCAACTGTCTTAATATACAAGCAAGCAATAAAAATTATGGATCTGAAAACACTGAAATGGCATCATTGTCGCATTTTAAGGAAACATAACCTTCTCACTTTCGAAAACTTTATTAATTTTAGCATTTTACGATTCTTTTTCAAATGTCTAAATAATAATTTGCCTATACTGTCCTCTGCTGTGGCCATCAGACGTCAGCGCTCTCACAGAGTGATCACACGTGCCTCCACTTGTGATTTTCTAGTCCAGCGGTCATTAACCCGCGGCTCTAGAGCCACATGTGGCTCTTTAGCGCTCTCTAGTGGCTCCCTGGAGCTTTTTCAAAAATGTTTGAAAATGGAAAAAGATGGCGGAAGGAAATAAATTTTTTGTTTTAATATAGTTTCTGTAGGAGGACAAACATGATACAAACATTCTTAACGTTTTTCAGTGCTGTAAAAATGTGTAGAAAAATATTAAATTTCAACATTTCTGTCAACGAAGATTTGCGTCATAGCCTGCGACACACGTTTCTATCAGCTGGATCTATTGGCGGGATGCCAGGCAGGTGGCTGTTGTAAACAAATGGACGGCTGTGTGATGAGCCATGGATCCCAAAGGGAAAAAGAGAAAAATAACTGAGCAGAACAGAGGATTCAACGTTTCTGGGACCGAATCATTTGCATTCTTTGCCAATGCTGGAAGGAGTGCCTGAATGTTTGCTCTGTAACGAGAAGTTGACAGATAACAAAAAGAGTAATGTGGAAAGACATTTCCAGGCATGCTACATTTGCAGCCGAGTATCCAGTTGGGAGTGAGAGAAAAAGTGTGATTGCATTACTTCTGGAGAAACTAGAGGAGCGCAAAAATAGATTTAAGAAGTGGATTGCGTCTCCAAACTCCACTACTGCTGCAAGTTTTGTTGCAACCCGGGAGATAAAAAAGCGTGGGAAACCGTTCACAGATGGTGACTACATGAAGGAGTCGTTCATCAACATATCAGAACACCTATTTGCAGACATTAAAAACAAAACTGAGATAATACAGAAAATCAAAGACATGCCTCTCTCCGCTAAGACAGTGAAGGAAAGGGCCATTAAAATGGCGGGCAACATTACCGATCAGCAAATCAAGGACATTAATTCAGCACCAGCATACTCAATTGCCTGTGATGAGTCGTGTGATGTGATCGATATTGAACAGACTGCACTTTTATGCAGGTGTGAATTCCGATGGGCCGCAAGAAGAAATTATCCAGTTAATTCCACTGAAAGGCCAAACACGGGGGGAGGACATATGTGAGGCTGTGCTAAAGTGTTTAAATGACAATGGAATAAACACCAACCACCTGATTTCAGTGGTTACAGATGGGGCACCCAGCATGAGAGGATCAAAAAGGGGGGTTTGAGACTTTGCTACAGAAAGCATCGGATCGAAATCTGCTTGCATTCCACTGCATCTTGCACCAAAAGGCGCTGTGTGCGCAAACATTCCCATCGGAGTGTATGGCGGTGATGAACCTCGTCATCGAGATGGTGAACAAGATAATTGCAAAAGCATTGAATCACCGTCAGTCCCGTGCATTGCTTGATGAAGTTGACAGCCAACATTCCGATCTCCTGCTGCACAACAAAGTCCGATGGCTGTCCAGGGGTGAGGTTTTGCGTCGCTTTGTCGCTTGTTTAGAACACGTGAAAACATTCCTCAAAAGCAAAGACCTGAACTACCCGCAACCGGAAGACACAGAGTGGCTCGAAAAACTGCACTTTTTGGTGGATATGACAAGCCACCTAAACAAGCTGAATGAAAGTCTCCAGGGGCGGGGAAACCCTGCACTGCAAATGCTGGAGGCTGTTTTGTCATTCGAGCGCAAGCTGACTGTCTTAGCCAGAGATGTACAGCGAGGCACGCTCTTCCACTTCCCATCCCTGAAAGATTTTAAAGAAGCCCATCACGATCACACACTCAACGGTGATTATTTACAAGGTGCGATCGTTGATATGCAAACTGCATTTGGGAGCAGATTTTGCGAGTTCCGAAAGGAAAAAATGACACTGTCTTTCCCTGTCACACCGCTGGAGACTGACCCGTCCTTGTTGAGCACATTTCCAGGAGTTAATCAAGCTGACCTTGAAATGGAAATGGCTGATATAGCCGACAAAGATTTACGGGTGTCCAAATTCAAACGTCTGACAGCCGAGCTTGAAGACGTCACTCGCCAGAAAGCCCAGCTTGCCCAAAACCACAAATGGAGCGAAATTGAAAGCCTCCCAACACCCGAGAAACTTGTTTTTGACACATGGAATGCTCTTCCTGACAGTTACATGAACATGAAGACATATGCATTTGGAGTATTATCCATCTTCGGATCAACATACCTGTGTGAGCAGATATTCTCAAACATGAACTACATCAAATCAAAATATCGCACCCGCCTCACAGATGAGCGCTTGCAGTCCTGCGTCAAGATTAAAGTTACATCTTACAAGCCCGATGTTGAGAAGCTGACCGGTGATGTCTGAAAACAGAGGTCACATTAAACGTGTAAATACACAATTCTGTCATAGGCACATATTGGTTGCTTGTCAAAAGAGAAGAGGGTGCTTGCACTGACTTGCTTGGCATTTTCACAGAAATCAAACTTTAACTGTATTAATTTGATTTTATATACTTTACCTTTTCAAAAGGCTGCTGTTTTATTTTTATAAATGCAGGCTGCGTTTTATTGCACTCAGTTTGTTGCCCCGATGAGGGGCACGTTATGCACGTTCCATTTTGTTGTTGTTTTTTCGAATCCTCAAAATAAAAATGACATCAAAAATCGGATTTCTTTATTGCATTTCTTCAGTGGTGGGCAGTCAGGGCCAGCAAAGCCTTCTCTGCTGGTCTAAACGTACTCAAAAGCGTAAATGTATGCAGGAGAGGAGGAGATCCATGCTGGACATTTATGTTGGTGAGTAGAAACATTTTATTAGTATTTTTTTTAACGTTTTGTCATTTTATTTCGTTAATAATCAATAAATGGTAACGAAATAAAATGGCTAAATGAAATAATTCTGTGTTCTGTTTCTATGCTATTACGTGGTGTGCGCTGCTGCGCCAACATGTTCAATTGTTTCGCAATACCATTTTCTCCAAAACAAATGCAAATAATGTGTTTGCTTTACTTATTTATTTTATTGTTTCATCTCTTAAACCCGTCTTTCATTTTTGAGATTTGACAGTATCCGTGGTCTTAGTTTCCTACTCTCAATTGGGAATGCGAGTTTGATTTTAAAGGCTCCGGAAATTACGTGTCTTGACCAGCCACTTGTGTGTGTGTGTGTGTGTGTGTGTGTGTGTGTGCGCGTGTGTGTGTGCGTGTGTGTGTGTGTGCGTGTGTGTGTGTGTGTGTGTGTGTGTGTGTGTGTGTGTGTGTGTGTGTGTGTGTGTGTGTGTGTGTGTGTGTGTGTGTGTGATGGTATTTTAAGGTGTAGTAAATTAGATTGGACTGAATAGGAAATCACTGAAGGCCCAGGGGTGGAACGCACCGCCCGCCACTGCATTTCTTTAATTTCATCAAAGCAATGAAACATGATCCATTAATACTGTAATGAAGTTAAACTTGAGGCGGCATCGTACAACAGAGTAGTCATGTGGTGGGTCATTCTCTACAGGATGCGCTACAGGGAAAATACACATTTAATCATGAAGGCTCATTATGTATTTGTAGCCAACTTATGTCACAATCTGCCCCTGCCCTCCTGACTGTGTTCCTCTCCTGCCATGATTACCCTTATTGTTCTCACCTGTCCCTCGTTTACCTGCCCATGTTTCCCTAATTAGCCCTCTGTATTTAAACCACCTGTTTTGCCCCTGTCCTTTGTCAGTTCATTGTTGTTGTTTGCTGGTGTTCCTGTTCATCCCATCCTGCCATTAAACCATTTTTACTTTACTGAAGCCTGCATTCCTGCCTCCTGGTCAGCTCCACCACACTTGGTCCATCATCTCCACCTCCTACACCGTGACAGAATGAACTGACCAAACCTGGACCTGTGGTGAGCTAACACCTGATCTCTGGAGGATTTATTTTTTGCTTTTTTTCCTTTAGCAGAAGGAGATTCTGGCCCAGGGTGTTGGCGCATCCTACCTGTTCTCCGGGGTGGTCAAGCCTCTGGGTGGGTTTCGGCGCATCCAGTTCGTTTCCTGTGGTGGTCGAGCCCTTCTCCTCTCCTGCTTTCTGCCCCCGTCCCGTTTGTGTCATGGAAGCCGCGGATCCTGGAGCTTTGAAGGAGTTACACCCCCTACGCACGCCATCGTTCTCCGGGGTGGTAGGGCTGGTCTCCCCGCTCTTCTCCTGCTTCCCTGCACCCAAGCCTCTGCCTGGGATCCAGCGAATCGTGCTGTGCACCTGCTCAGACCGGTTGTCGAGCACCTGCCGCCGAGCTGGGTTTCCTCGCGTCGCTCCTGCCGTTCGTCCACTTCCTGGTCCAAGCTGTGGGGCTTATGCCTGCAGGTATCGTGCTGCTGCAGCCTCTGCTGGGTCCCACGCCTGTTCCTGCAGTTCTCTGCCTGGGTCCCACGCCTACTGCTGCAGCCCCTGCCGGGTCCCACGCCTGCTCCACCAGTTCTCTGCCTGGGCCCCACGCCTGCTCCACCAGTTCTCTGCTTGGGTCCCACGCCTGCTCCTGCAGTTCTCTGCCTGGGTCCCATGCCTACTGCTGCAGCCCCTGCCGGGTCCCACGCCTGCTCCACCAGTTTTCTGCCTTGGCCCCACGCCTGCTCCACCAGTTCTCTGCCTGGGTCCCACGCCTGCTCCTGTCAAGTCCAGTCAAGTCTTCACGTCCAGTCAAGTCTTCACGTCCAGTCAAGTCTTCACGTCCAGTCAAGTCAAGTCTTCACGTCCAGTCAAGTCCCGTTCCAGTCAAGTCAAGTCCCGTTCCAGTCAAGTCCCGTTCCAGTCAAGTCAAGTCCCGTTCCAGTCAAGTCCCGTTCCAGTCAAGTCCCGTTCCAGTCAAGTCCCGTTCCAGTCAAGTCCCGTTCCAGTCAAGTCCCGTCCCGTTCCAGTCAAGTCAAGTCCCGTTCCAGTCAAGTCAAGTCCCGTTCCAGTCAAGTCAAGTCCCGTTCCAGTCAAGTCAAGTCCCGTTCCAGTCAAGTCAAGTCCCGTTCCAGTCAAGTCAAGTCAAGTCCCGTTCCAGTCAAGTCAAGTCAAGTCCCGTTCCAGTCAAGTCAAGTCAAGTCCCGTTCCAGTCAAGTCAAGTCAAGTCCCGTTCCAGTCAAGTCCCATTCCAGTCAAGTCCCGTTCCAGTCAAGTCCCGTTCCAGTCAAGTCAAGTCCCGTTCCAGTCAAGTCCCGTTCCGTTCCAGTCAAGTCCCGTTCCAGTCAAGTCCCGTTCCGTTCCAGTCAAGTCCCGTTCCAGTCAAGTCAAGTCCCGTTCCAGTCAAGTCAAGTCAAGTCCTGTTCCAGTCAAGTCAAGTCAAGTCCCGTTCCAGTCAAGTCAAGTCCCGTTCCAGTCAAGTCAAGTCCCGTTCCAGTCAAGTCAAGTCCCGTTCCAGTCAAGTCAAGTCAAGTCCCGTTCCAGTCAAGTCAAGTCAAGTCCCGTTCCAGTCAAGTCAAGTCAAGTCCCGTTCCAGTCAAGTCAAGTCAAGTCCCATTCCAGTCAAGTCCCGTTCCGTTCCAGTCAAGTCCCGTTCCAGTCAAGTCAAGTCCCGTTCCAGTCAAGTCAAGTCAAGTCCCGTTCCAGTCAAGTCAAGTCAAGTCCCGTTCCAGTCAAGTCAAGTCAAGTCCCGTTCCAGTCAAGTCAAGTCCCGTTCCAGTCAAGTCAAGTCCCGTTCCAGTCAAGTCAAGTCCCGTTCCAGTCAAGTCAAGTCAAGTCCCGTTCCAGTCAAGTCAAGTCAAGTCCCGTTCCAGTCAAGTCAAGTCAAGTCCCGTTCCAGTCAAGTCAAGTCAAGTCCCGTTCCAGTCAAGTCAAGTCAAGTCCCGTTCCAGTCAAGTCAAGTCAAGTCCCGTTCCAGTCAAGTCAAGTCAAGTCCCGTTCCAGTCAAGTCAAGTCAAGTCCCGTTCCAGTCAAGTCAAGTCAAGTCCCGTTCCAGTCAAGTCAAGTCCCGTTCCAGTCAAGTCAAGTCAAGTCCCGTTCCAGTCAAGTCAAGTCAAGTCCCGTTCCAGTCAAGTCAAGTCAAGTCCCGTTCCAGTCAAGTCAAGTCAAGTCCCGTTCCAGTCAAGTCAAGTCAAGTCCCGTTCCAGTCAAGTCAAGTCAAGTCCCGTTCCAGTCAAGTCAAGTCAAGTCCCGTTCCAGTCAAGTCCCGTTCTAGTCTTGTCCAGTCTTCGAGTCCCCGTCCAGTCTCGTTCCTGTCTTGTCCAGTCTTCTAGTCCCCGTCCAGTCCCTGTCCAGTCTCGTTCCTGTCTTGTCCAGTCTTCGAGTCCCCGTCTCCTGTGTCGTGTGCCTTATGGGCGTCTGGTATCCGCCCTTGGGGGGGGGGGTACTGTCACGATCTGCCCCTGCCCGCCTGACTGTGTTCCTCTCCTGCCATGATTACCCTTATTGTTCTCACCTGTCCCTCGTTTACCTGCCCATGTTTCCCTAATTAGCCCTCTGTATTTAACCACCTGTTTTGTCCCTGTCCTTTGTCAGTTCATTGTTGTTGTTTGCTGGTGTTCCTGTTCATCCCATCCTGCCATTAAACCATTTTTACTTTACTGAAGCCTGCATTCCTGCCTCCTGGTCAGCTCCACCACACTTGGTCCATCATCTCCACCTCCTACACCGTGACAACTTAGTCATTTTGATAGTAGGCTAATATAGATACACACAGCATGTGTTACCTTCATTATAAGGCTTATATAAGGCTTTTAATTTTTTGCGGCTCCAGACATTTTTGTTTTTTTGGTCCAATATGGCTCTTTCAACATTTTGGGTTGCCGATCCCTGGTCTACTCCCTTTGGCCAGTCTGCTCTTTCTGTAGGGGGCCAAACTGTGGAAGTCCCTACCCGCTGAGCTAAAACTAGAAAATTACAGTAAAGTTTTTAACAAAGGACTCAAAACATGGCTAAAGTCTAAACAACAATGCCCACATGAATAGTTTCAAACTCGTTTAATCTGCTGCTTAAATTGCCTTTTATTTTCTATTTTTGGAAATTGTTTGTAATTTTAATCTGCTTTTCTTTGATTTATTTGTATCTTATTTAAATGTGTTCTACTGTTTAGAAAAGGTGCCTATGGACAAGTGTTGCAAATTAGCACTTGTGCTAACACACTGAAACAATGTCCGATGTAATTGCTGTGTCCAAATCAAATAAACATCATCATCTTTTATAGAGGACCTTCTGTTTTTATGCAAGGCTGCTCAGCCCTTTGAGACGTGAACGGTCAGGACTGATCTGTGGTACCTGGTGAGTATTTATTCGACCGAGCAGCTGCTGAATCAACATTAATATAAAACATGAAGACGTTCCATCCAAACAAAACCTGGACCAGGACACAAACCACAGAACCCAAATAAAACTAAAGATTATTAAAGGTGCAATAAAAACGTTAAGTCGTGGTTCGATTAGTTTTTTATCACAAACAAAATCAGAGACAAGCTGGGTTGTTCTGCAGGAACACGAGCACAGAACCAGGGTTCTGATGAGTTCACACCAGCAGGTTCACTCTGAACCAGTCCTACCTGGAGCTGAGGATCTGGACCATGAAGTGGGCCCCATGGGGGGTCCCCGGACTGGGCCAGAAGCTCAGGAAGTGCTGCAGGTTATAGGAGGAGATGGACACGTTGGCTGGAGAGGGGAGGAGAACACAGAACCCTGTAGGATGGGGACAGAACCAAGCAGGCTTCATCAGACATACATCTGGTCCAGAACCCCCCTTCTCAGCCTGTGGACCCACTGAGACAGAAGTCAGCTTAGAAGTTTAAAGATCAGAAGCAGGTCTATGTCCACGGTGATGGTCGGGTTACCTGAGTGCAGCAGCAGCAGCAGCAGCAGAACCATGCCCCCCCCAAACCAGGTCCTGGATCAGTGGACCTGTCAGAAACCCAGCAGCTGGTTGTTGTGTCAGAGGAGCAGAGAGGAGCTGAGAGGAACTCGTGAAGATGAGTTTCTGTTTCCTCAGAAGTCCCTCCCTCTCTGAGGCTGGAGCTACAGGTCTCTGAGGTTTTCAGCTTCTCTGTAAAACCCAATTGAAAGGTTTGAATACAAAACAAAACTAGATAAATTGCATTTCTTGCAGAATTGCTGTTTGAATGCTGGATAGCTGAAACTGTAAGCTGAAGCTGCTGAACAGCTGAACTGAAGCAGAAACTAAGCAAAACTGTCAAAATGAGCTGAATGTCTTGAAAGATGTAGAAGCAAAAAGCACCAACAACCAAGTACAGCACAAAAAGTAAGTGAAGAATAGAGAAAAATAATGCTAAATAGCAAAAAAAAAAAAAAACCTGAAATCTGTGAACATTGTATAAAAATCTGGACAGCTAAAATGTCTAACCACCTGTTATTTCAGTAGGACAAGTTTAACAGTTTAATCTTTACATTTAGCTGAACTGTGAAATTAGCAGCATGTGCTAAATTTGGAAACTGATTGCTGAAGCTGCTGAATAGCTTAAGTGAAGCTGAAACTAAGCTAAACTGTCAAAATGAGCTGAATGTATTTAAAGATTTAGAAGCAAAAATCACCAACAAGTGTAATAAAGCTCAGAATATACAGGTGCTGGCCAGTAAATTAGAATATCATCAAAAGGTTGAAAATATTTCAGTAATTCCATTCAAAACGTGAAACTTGTACATTATATTCATGCAATGCACACAGACCAATGTATTTCCGATGTTTATTACGTTTAATTTTGATATTTATAGGTGACAACCAATGAAAACATCAAATCTGGTATCTCAGAAAATTAGAATATTCTAAAGGCCAATGAAAAAATGTTTGTTTCTCTAATGTTGGCCAACTGAAAAGAATGAACATGAAAAGAATGTGCATGTATAGCACTCAATACTTAGTCGGGGCTCCTTTTGCCTCAATAACTGCAGTAATGCGGCGTGGCATTGACTCGATCAGTCTGTGGCACTGCTCAGGTGTTATGAGAGCCCAGGTTGCTCTGATAGTCGTCTTCAGCTCCTCTGCATTGTTGGGTCTAGCGTATTGCATCCTCCGCTTCACAATACCCCATAGATTTTCTATGGGGTTAAGGTCAGGCGAGTTTGCTGGCCAATCAAGGACAGGGATACCATGGTCCTTGAACCAGGTGCTGGTGGTTTTGGCACTGTGTGCAGGTGCCAAGTCCTGTTGAAAGGTGAAGTCTGCATCCCCATAAAGTTGGTCAGCAGCAGGAAGCATGAAGTGCTCTAAAACTTCCTGGTAGACGGCTGCATTGACCCTGGACCTCAGGAAACAGAGTGGGCCAACACCGGCAGATGACATGGCACCCCACACCATCACTGACGGTGGAAACTTTACACTGGACCTCATGCAACGTGGATTCTGTGCTTCTCCGCTCTTCCTCCAGACTCTGGGTCCTTGATTTCCAAAGGAAATGCAGAACTTGCTTTCATCAGAAAACATAACTTTGGACCACTCAGCATCAGTCCAGTCCTTTTTGTCCTTGGCCCAGGCGAGACGCTTCTTGCGCTGTTTCATGTTCAAGAGTGGCTTGACACACGGAATGCGACACCTGAATCCCATGTCTTTCATGAGTCTCCTCGTGGTGGTTCTTGAAGCGCTGACTCCAGCTGCAGTCCACTCTTTGTGGATCTCCCCCACATTTTTGAATGGGTTTGTCGTCACAATTCTCTGCAGGGTGCGGTTATCCCTAGAGCTTGTACACTTTTTTCTACCACATTTTTTCCGTCCCTTCGCCTGTCTGTTAATGTGCTTGGACACAGAGCTCTGCGAACAGCCAGCTTCTTTAGCAATCACCTTTTGTGTCTTGCCCTCCTTGTGCAAGGTGTCAATGATTGTCTTTTGGACAGCTGTTAAGTCAGAAGTCTTCCCCATGATTGTGGTGCCTTCAAAACAAGACTGAGGGACCTTTTAAAGGCCTTTGCAGGTGTTTTGAGTAAATCAGCTGATTAGAGTGGCAGCAGGTGTCTTCTATATTCAGCCTTTTCAGAATATTCTAATTTTTTGAGATACCAAATTTGGAGTTTTCATTAGTTGTCACTTATGAATATCAAATTTAAATGTAATGAACATTGGAAATACATTGGTCTGTGTGCATTGCATGAATATAATGTACAAGTTTCACGTTTTGAATGGAATTACTGAAATATTTTCAACCTTTTGATGATATTCTAATTTACTGGCCAGCACCTGTAGGTGGAGAATGGAAAAAAATGCTAAACAGCAGAAAACCTAAATCTTTGAACTTTGATTAAAAACTCAAAAGTTGAAATGTTAAACAGCTGGCATTTGAATGAGAACAGTTTAATAGGTACATTTTTACAATAGGCTGAACTGTGAATTTAGAAACACTTACTGATATATGAAACTGGTAGATCAACATATGTTCAGACTTGATGTGGCATTGATGAATGGTTGGATGAATTAAATGATGGATGGACTGTTGGATGGATGTTAGGTGGTTTATTGGATGAATGGATGGATGGATGGAAAGAAGCATTTATGGATTTATATGTGGATGGATGGATTCCTTAGGCCAAGCCGATCGATTTGATTTTCCATGTGTGTGGGTGCATATTTCCTTTTAGGCAGAAGACGATTGAAAACTCTCAGCCAATGAGAGAGCAGCGAAGGAAGAGGGGGCGGTTCCTGCCTTCTGACTAGTGTTAAAATGTCAGCTATGCTGCTAGTTTTAAGTGTATAGAGTTCAGAAAGATAAGAAACAGTAGTAGGTTATAGGCTCAACATTAGGCTTTTAACATTCATTTCAATGAGACTTGTTTGGGGATATCCTTACGCACTTGTGTTACCATGGTAACAGATAACACATTTAAAATTGAATACAAGATTCCTGAGACCAAGCTGGTCGATTTGATGTATCACATGTGTGGGTGCATTAGAGCCCTGCACGGGCCTAAAATCTGAGTCCGTGTCCGGCCCGGCCCGAGGGGGTGGAGCTCCAGCCCCACCGGGTCCGAAAAGGTTTTCAGGATTCTCTGGCCCGACCCGAGCCCGACTTTTTTTTTAACCAACTAAATGAAAACAAAGTGCGTCAATCCTGACAAATGTGTTAAAAGACGTGCAGGATCCGATCAATTTGTTTTTCCCTCATTTACCGTCACGGAGATAACGGCGCAGGCTCTGGTGGTAATCAAGTTAAATTTGACCTCTTTCCAACTATTTTCACAAGAAAACAGAACAGTCAAAAGCAGGGCTTGTGTTGACCGGATAGTTCCCGCATTTGACTGTTTATTTTGATGGAGAAAGAATAGAAAGAATTACCCCGACGCATGCAGACGAACTGACACTTTATTCTACGCACATCGCAGATGTAGCTAAATCACCCAAGAAAAGATTCCCATCTGAACATCTGAGCTGGACACTGCTCAGCGCAGCTCAATGTCAGCGCATATGTGCACAGCGAGCTGAAGTAGGAGATTGGCTTGGAGCGCATGGCAGATCCAGAGCGCATGCGGGAAGGTTCCTCCCACTGAAACGAGTGTTTTCCAAACCCGGTCTCTCAGAGAGACTTGTCACTTAGAAAATGTTCCCTGATTATGAAACTTTGGCTGAATAGTGCTTGTTCCTGTCTCCAATGAGGCAACACATCCAGGAGCCGTCTGAGGAGAAGCCCAGGATCTCACATCCTCTTCAGCTCAGGAAGCGCCTATGATTACGCACAAGCGTGGCCCGTCAACCTGGTCTCACAGTCAGACCGGGTTTGAACTGTTCAGGTTCACGCAGACAATCTTTACATAGAATTGACTTACAGATATGAAATTAATTCAGTAAAATATAAAGCATTTTATTTAAATGTCCATTCATTATTTTACAAGCACAGAGAGCCGCATCAGACTCAGATCAGCGGGAAGACTCCTCCGACTGAATTCAGTCGGAGGAGTCTTCCCGCATGCGCTCTGGTTCTGCGACGCGCTCCAAGCCCCTCTCCACATCTTCAGCTCACTGTGCACCTTATGTAGTACACACTGACAGCGAGCTGCGCTGAGCAGTGTCCAGCTCAGACGTTCAGATGGGAATATTTTCTTGGGTGATTTAGCTACATCTGCGATGTGCGTAGAATAAAGTGCCAGTTCGTCTGCATGCGTCGGGGTAATTCTTTCTATTCTTTCTCCGTCAAAATAAACGGTCAAATACAGGAACTGTCCAGTCAACACAACACAAGCCCTTCTTTTAACTGTTCTGTTTTCTTGTGAAAATTGTTGCAAAGAGATATAATTTAACTTGATTAACATCAGAGCCAAGCGCACTGCGCCGTGTAGCGTTATGAATCGTATAATGGTCTGCCCTTAACAGCTGACCCTTCACACAGTAACATCACCAAGGTCGGACGCTTGGTTCAGTATGTTTACATTCCAGGAGAAGAGAGAGAAGAAGAGAAGAAGAACGATTTTCATTGATTAATCAAAGTACTTTATTTGTGATAAGCTAATCAAAGCATATGTTGATCATTAATAATCAGGTGAATGATCTGTGAATTAAAGATGTCATGAGTTATGTGTTTAAATGAATAAACAGGGCTGCACCAGACTGATATACATTACCATGGAAACGCATGACACATTATTCTCAACCAATCAGAACTTTCGTCTGTGGTAGGGCAGAATCTGGGTTGTTTTATGAAAGTCGTCCAATCCGGTTTACTGAGATTTGTAAACAGTTAGGGGATATAAAATAAGGCAACGCCATTTTATATTCAGTTCCACGTTAACATCAGCTCTGTTCGATCCGAGCTCCAAAGGAGTTGCATCATACTCTCAACATTGTTTTCAACCAGCTCTCAATCCATCACCGCCAAAAGAGAAGTACAGGCTGGCCAGCTGTACTTTCTGTTTTAAGCTGAGAACTGTCAAGCTGGAGATTTCCGTCGTTTGAACCAACGAGACGACGTTCCTTCAAAATAAGAGTGAACTTGTTGACGCCTGCCGATGCTACCCGAGTCGACCCTTCAGACGGGCGTTGTGTGCTGTGACCGCTGTTTCAACCAGCTCCAGTACCTCTGAAGGTCCGAGGACCTGGCAATTCCTGATCTAACACGGGAGGCTCCCCCTGGGTAAGAAAATACGGCAAAATGGCGGCTCATGTCATCAGCTTCTGAAGCCTCGTGGTAGCCTAGTCATAACAACCAGATTCGCTACGTCAGCCTAGAGATTCTGAACAAAACACACACACACCAACACGAAACATCCAAATCCATATGCATTCATCATTGAGATAGTCCTGGTAGATTGTAAGAATTTATAATTATAGAAATTAAAGATTCTTAAACGATCCCAACTCTCTCTTTTCTTGTCTCTCAGTCAATACAGAGTGTTTAAGTAAACTCCCTGATGATAAAAACTACCACTTCTGATTGATTACTTAGATCTAATTACAGTGTATAAATATACAAAATCAGATCATTACATTATCTAATTACAGTGTATAAATATACAACTTCAGATCATTACAGCTGTTATCTCCTTCACGTCTCATCGCCATTCAAAATCTGCTGAAACGTCTCATCGCCATTCAAAATCTGCTGCACCTAATGGAAAAAATAAAAAAGCGTGAGCGGCAGAAGGCTTTGGTGGTAATCTGTGTGAATTTTTGTATGCCTTCCATGAATTGTCTAGAAGCTATGACGAGAACATTTTAGCTGTCTGAAGCCGATCGGAGAAGAAAATCTCTGTTCCTTTAACATGGGTTTCAATGAGACATAATCAGGGTCTCTCCTCCTTCTGAGGCTTGTAGCGAAAGCACCGTATCACTTAAGAACAAAATGAAACCCATTCTGAAAAGCTGACAAAAATTCCTAATTTTTGATATATGATTTGTTTCGGTACTCCAAACGGTCTGGGTGTTGGAAAGATTTGTTTCCAGAAAATGTGAAGTTCAAAAGTTAGAGTGTGGAATCTTCAGGTTAGAGTGATGAGAAACATTTTTTAAATTTTGAATATTTTCAAAGAAATGAACCGTACGACCACAATGTTTGGAGTACATTCATGATTTATAGCTCAAAACGAAGGTATATTCGTTAGCTGCAAGCCAGCGTGGGTCTCATTTTAATTGCTTACGGTTTTCTCAAGACAATGCCAGAAATGGAGCAAAGGAGGGTCATTGCTCCTATCGCTGCCCATTATAATTTTTTAGATTTTTTCTGAAAATCTCAAGCCGTACCTCAACTTCTACCTGTGATTTTAGAAAAACTGTAATAGATATGTAAGAGTTTTTAACCAGTAATAGCTGAAAGTCCTGAGAGTTTGTTGAAACTTGAATGAAGTCTCTAGGTTAAAGTTAACCTATAAGAGTTCAGAGAAACAGGATCACTATAGTTTGAAAACAACTAACTAACCCAGAGTATTTTATTCTGACCGGGCTCAAATTCCCACCAGCCAGAACTTCCTCTGAAGTGGTCTGGACCCTCTGCTGGTTTTATTAATTTAGCTTTACTCAGAACTCTGGACCAGTTTGAGCCCTTTGAAGGACAGAACAGGAAGTGCATCTGTGATGGAGCAGTGTCTCCAGAACCAGAACCCCAGTGCGAGCCCATCCTGAAAGAAAAACCCGGAGAAATTTGTTTAATCTTTTATTTGTTTTTAGGAATCTGCTCCCATATAAAAAGTGGAGGAGTGGCTGAAAACCTTTGCACATTATAAATGTGACAGTGTGAGCATTAAAGACGAACACCCCGTCCCATGTACCCACAGTCCTCCTCTGGTTCCTCCTCTTCTTCAGCGGTCCAGCAGGAGACTCCAGCAGGAAACAGTGTAATGACTGAAGGATCAGGAGTGTTGCACTCATCTGAAGCATTGGAGGAAGAATCCTCCTCCTCCTCCTCTTCCTGATGGTCGAAAGTCAATGTGAGGAGGTTGACATCCAGATCAACCATCTCTCCCTCCTCCTCCTCCTCACTTCTCCCTCTGGAGGAGGTGTTGGAGCTCCAACTGCTTGCTTCAGTTCTGAACTGATTCTGAGCGTCAGGTTCACGAGGAGGTTTGGAGGAAGGTAATGGTGAGGAGGAGATGGGGGTGGGGTTGACCCGCTGAGTGTATCCTGCTCCTGATGAGCCCTTGCAAGAGGTCTCTGCTGCTCCCTCTTCGTCACTGTCCTCTGATGACGACAGGCTGCTGGTCTTCCCACCAGCAGGGGGCGCCACCAGGCTGAACCTCTCCAGGGAGATCGTGGAGGCTTGGATCAGGACCTCCTCCAGAGGGCGGATGGATGTCTGCATGACACATACAGATCAGATACACTTCACTAAAACGTTAATGACCCAGCAGAACCTCTTGGTTCTGATCTGAAACCCAATGACTTGTGTCTCCTCTAACCACAGCAGCTGCTGCCTCTTCCCTTCTTCTCACTGGTCAAACAGGCAAGCACACCTGCTGCAGCATGCAGAAAGGGGCGGGGTTGGGCGAGTCGTCAGACCCATATGAACTACGGCGGTTGGTAGTTTACAGATGTTAAAACTCTGTTCTAGGTTCAACTTAAGCAAGAGAAATATCATTTACTACATGACAAGGTCTGAATTTATATCCCAAAATGAGAAGGTTCCTTTCAGTGAATCTGCTCACGGCCGCTCCAAACGTAACCTAGCATACCTGTGATGGTCTGGTGTCACTGTCATCTGACTTTAGTTTCTCTGCTGACGCCGGTTCGACTCTAGGTGGTGTCGGCAGTCATTTATTTAGCAGCTGAAACAGATTTCATTTATTTATATTTTAGCTTTTTGATTACTTTCTGCCAAATATTTGATGTCTCTAAGATCTTTGAATTTGGTCGTTTCTAAGCAGCGTTTGAGTTGATCCTCTGCTCACACATGGACTCAGACTGGCTACATAAACAAAGTAAACACCAAACAGATTAGTCCGTATATTTTAAGGTTTACCAATAAAGGGTTGGATACATCATAATGACAAGTGTTGCTAAAAAAGAAAATAAAGGTTAATGCTGCGACTGGGAGGCAAACCTGCTCCAGCCTGACACCGTAACCACTGCACCACAGAGTCAACACAATGAAAATGGTGCCTAGTACACATATCCCTTGCCGTCACGGGTGTCCTTGTTAGATGGGATGTATGGTTTTCACGACGGCGTTCCAGTAGAATTTATTTCAGAAGTAATTTGTCAGAATATCCAGGTTTCAGAACCAAGACCAGACTAGCTTCAGGGGGAGGAGAAATGCCTGGTAGTGGGATACTTTCTCCCATTTGCAGGGAAAAGTTTTACATCCACCACATTTCAGCTGAGACAGGAAAATGCATGAATGCAGCATTAAAGGGCTTGGGGGTGTTCCTCATGAGCAAGCGACAATATCACATGGTAAAACATGCTAAAAGGTGACTTTTCATGATGTGGAACCTTTACCAAAGCGGTTCAATCAACGAACCTCTCTGTCCTCCTCGGTCTCACGCTTTAGGTGACATTAGTTACAGCACCAGTAAAAATGAAGGCGTTTGTGCATTAATCCAGAAGCGAGCGTAAAACATTTTTCATGTCTGTTAGCAACGCTGACATTGTATAGCTATAAGTATGCTGTGGAGATGAAAACATGGTGTTCAGCATAAATGAGTACACCCCTTTAAAAAGTATGACTTTAATCAGCAGCTCAGTGAACAAAAGAATGTCCAGATTTTCCACCAGGCTGGTTTATTGAACACGTGTTTAACTCCATAACATAAAATTAAGGTTAATAATAAACAAAAGCTTCAGTTTTACTAAAACTGGTTGAAGCAGAAACAAAGACAACCCACAACAAAACTACTACATCTAGTATTTAGCACGACCACCATCATTTTCAAGGACAGCACCAAGTCTTCTAGACATGGAATGAACAAGATGGCGACATGTTACAACATCTGTCTTTTACCATTCTTCCAGAAGAACCTCGTCTAAAGCCTGGATGCTGGATGGAGAGTGATGCTCTAATAGCTGCTTCAGAATTCCCCACTGGTGTTGGACTGGGTTCAGATCAGGAGAAAGACTTGTCCATTCAATCACCTTCACCCTGTTCTTCTGCAGAGATGCACCAGCAGCTTTAGATGTGTGTTCTGGATCGTTGTCGTGTTGGAAAAGTACATGACAGCCACGCCCACAGAGTGATGGCAGCTACTTCTCCTTCAGTATAGAGCAGGACATCATTGAGGTCATGATCCCATCAATGAGATGCAGCTCCCCAACACCAGCAGCACTCGTGCAGCCCCACATGAGGACACTGCCACCACCATGCTTCACTGTAGGCACCATGCACTAGGGTTGTCACGGTATGAAAATTTAACCTCACGGTTATTGTGACCAAAATTATCACGGTTTTCGGTATTATCGCGGTATTTTTTAAACGGTGTTGCATATGTTCAGAAAGCATTGATAGTCCTGTTCTACACAAACTGAAATAGTTTTGAAAAGGTTTAACAGTGTTTATTAAACCTAAAATAACACAAAGCCTTAGCAAAAGTGCAACTTTTCACAAGTAAAGGAACAAATAGCTTCTTTTTCTGGAACATGTTACAGTAGTCAGTGCAGGTTTAAATTATACAAATCCAAACATTCAAAACATAAACAATATGTAAACAAATCAAAGAAACACCACTTGTTTTCTCATATACTTGTTTTCTTCATTATCAAAATGAAAATCTAAAATTCCAGTCCACACTTGACTTGAGCACTGTACAAGTCAACCTTAAAAAAATATGTATTTAAAATAAATAGCCACTTTAAACAAATTACTAAAATAACTACTACACTATGTAATCGAATCCAAATGTTCAAGTATAAATGGCATTGAATAAGTAAACAAATCAATGACAAGAAACTAATTGTACATTTCTCTTCATCATAAACAAATAAGATGCTTCATCCAGCAACAGGGTGTCCGTGACACGGTTTAAATGCTGGCAGAGGACGCTGCGGCTGCAGTATATAGTGACTTGTTGCATTCTCCTTCAACCAAAAGTCCTCACGTCATGCATTTCAGCTAAAATGCTAATGTTAACTTACCTTGCACTGGCTGTAGAGACGTGGGTGATGGTCACGCAGATGTGCCATGAGATTCGAAGTGTTGCTGCCTTTTGCAGACACTTGTTTCCTGCACGTTCTGCAAACGGGATAGCAGTCTTCTATTAACTGTCCCTCAGCATTTTTCAGAAATCCAAAATATGCCCATACTTCCGATTTAGTCTTCTCTGAGGGCTGATGGATGTCCTGGGCGCTGCCGTCTCCTCCTTCGGCCATTATTTCAGCTTCAAAGTTTTGGTGCCGTTGCAAACTAAAAAGTGCGTGTGCGCGCCGCGGGAACTTCAGCTGAAGCGACGGTGGCTGGTAAGGGTCACCGCGCCGAAACCGCGGCCACGGTAAACCCACCGAGATAATTTAGTTTTTAAAAAACTGGACGGTTATTTTTATTGTCAACTTTTTTACCGGGGTTTACCGCTATACCGGTTACCGTGACAACCCTACCATGCACCATGTCTTTGAAGTCCTCACCTTTACGACACCATGCAGTTTGGAAACATTAGTTCCTAAAACAGTGATGTCTGTCTCATCACTCCACAGTCTAGAGTCCCAGTACAGTGATCCCTCGTTTATCGCGGTAGACGCGTTCCAGATCTGGCCGCGATAGGTGAAAATCCGCGAAGTAGGGACACCATATTTACAGTATTTATTTAACAGGTATGTATTCAGTATTCAGACTTTTAAAACCCTCCCTTTACATAGTACTGTATTTTTACTTGTTTTTTTTATAGTTTTATTACAAAAAGTGCATTTTATGATGAAATTGATGGAAAAAACCAGGAATTTCTTGATATTTCGCATAGAAAAATACAGCAAATCGGTGAATTTCCCTTGAATAAGGCTCCAAAGAAAAAATCCGCGAAGTTGTGAATCCGCGATAAACGAACCGCGAAGTAGCGAGGGATCACTGTAGTCTTCTTCTCTTCCAGCATGGGCCCTAGCTAATCCTAGGTGTGCTGTTTAGTGCCTGGGCTTTAGGAGAAGCTTCCTTCATGGACGATACTTATGCATGCCATTCCTCTGCAGTGTGCGCCGTATGGTGTCACGGGAAACGGTTTGGCTACTGCTTTAGCTAACTGCAGTGAACTTGTATGGAGATGTTCTTCATCAGAAGACGCTCCTGTCCAGATGTTAACTTCCAAGGACGGCCTGGACGTCTCTGTAGGATGGTTGCACTTCCATTGTTCTTAAATGTTTAGATCACTGTAGCGACAGTATTCTGACTGATATGTGAAGCTTTGCTGATCTTCTTGTAGCCCTCACCTTTTGTGTAAAGAAATGCTTTCCTTTCTCAGATGTTGGGACATTTCTCTTCCACGTGGAGCTGACAGCATGAAAGGGGAGGGGCTTTTCTCTGTTCAGTAATGGTAAACGGCCTGTATTTGATATAGCGCCTTCTAGAGTCCTAGAACCCCTCAAGGCGCTTTACAACACAATCAGTCATTCACCCATTAACACACACATTCACACACTGAAGGCGATGAACTACAATGTAGCCACAGCTGCCCTGGGGTGCAGAGGCGAGGCTGCCGAGCACTTGCGCCACCAGTCCCTCTGACCACCACCAGCAGGCAACATGGGTTAGGTGTCTTGCCCAAGGACACAATGACAGCGACAGACTGAGCGGGACTCGAACCTGCAACCTTCTGATTATGGGGCGAGCACTTAACTCCTGTGCCACCGTCGCCCCCTAGTAATGTCCCTAACCCTGCCACCTGTCTGCTGGACACCTCCTAATGAATCATTACTCACCTGTGGTTGAATGGCTGTT